ATCCCAGGGGGGGGGGACCGTGGAGCGGGAGCCGGCCTCTGTCTGGGGAGGCAGCTTGAATGTGCACACAGAGGGGACCTGGAGTGGTGGAAGGAGCCAAGCCCCCCATAGACCTGGAGACTCATTGCCAGGGAGCCAGGTGGCCCCAGGGACGATACGCATGTGTAGTTAGTGAGTCTGCAAGAGGGCACACAGTGGACTTGTGTGTATGTGCGTGTGTAGACATGTGGCTGTGTGTGGTGTGTATATGTGTGTGCCTGTGTCTACATGTGTGAATGGCGTATGTGTGTGTGATGGAGAGCATGGTGTGGCATGGAAGATGGGGCTGAGTGGTACCTTGGAGAAGTGTTTCCAGCTGGAGAAAGAGCACTGCTGGCCCAGGGCCTGGCTGGGCTGGGTCTCGGGGGCTGTGGGGTCCTACAGAGGCTCGAGATCGGTGAGACTCTAGATCCAGTCTGGACAAACCCCCTCTGATTTGCACTCCTATGCCCCCTTTCCATCCTAGGCAGGGGCTCCCTGGCTCGCTTCTCCAGCCACGTCCTAAGCACCTGCTCCTACCGGCCCAGGGACAGGCACTGCGGACATAAACATGCATGAGACCCTGTGCCCTTTACCCAGCGTGCCCTTTACCTGTTGTGTGCTCAGGACCCCCCAGGTTAGCCCATGTGGATGGGCGATGACGTCTGTTTGCCCAGAGCCCAGGTTTCAGTCACCATCACTCATACTATCTCAGAAGCTCTGTCAACCCCAGGGACGCCCCTTCCCCTCCCTGAGAGCTGTTGCAACATTGGGACCAGAGGAGAGGCCTCCTCACCCATGCCCGGGTGAAAGGGAGTTGTGAAATGTGTGCTTGAAAGGACCCTTTGTCCCCAGGACATGGTGGCCCGGCACTGTGCCTCTGGCCGCCTCCAGCAGGAAGTGGGCTGGGGTGGGTGAGCCCAGCTCCTGCCGGCAAACAAAAGGTGTTGTGTGCTCAGGGCCGGCCCGCTGGTGCCCTCGGGAGGGCCAGGCCCAGGGATGGGGCAGGCCTGCTGCCTGCTTGTCCCTTTGTTCTGCAAATGCTGAGAGCAGGCAAGCCCACAAAGTGACCTGCATGCATCTACATGCGTGTTTACATGAGAGTGCACATGTGGGTGCATGTGAGGATACATATCTCGTGTGTGCTTGCACATATGTGTGCATGTGTGTGCTGCACCTGTAGATACGTGTTTGCGAACATGCATTTACATGGGCATGTGTGTGCCTGTGTGTGTGCCTGCATGCCTCTGCGTGTGTGGTGTGTGGTGTATACATGTGGGTGATGTGTACGTGTGTCTGGGGGGTACATATGTGTGTGGTGTATACATGTGGGTGATGTGTACGTGTGTCTGGGGAGTACATATGTGTGTGGTGTGTGGCCAGGCGTCACGGCTACAGCATAGGTGAGGCTGGAGCCCCCTTCACCATCCTAAGGCCCCAGGGGCCCTGCCCTCCTTCCTTCTTCTCTTTCTGACCCTGAGTGGCACTGTGCATGTTACCACATCATGGCTGGCAGGGATGAGGGTCCTCTCCGTAGAGGGACAGTGGGCTGGGGCCTGGCACTGGAGCACGCGTGTGTCCCGGATACTGAAGGCTGACACATGGCCCCAGATCCCTCCCCTGTCCTCAGCCTCACAGTCCCAGTGAGCTCCGGTGGTTCCATCCTAGCCTGACCGAGAGGGCCCCAGCAACATAGCCTGTGGGTGCTGGCCAGCCACGCCCTGTGCCAGGTGGGGTGCTTCTGCCTATGCTGTCTCCACCCTCAGCGTCCTTCTCCTGGGACTTCCCAGCCCAGAGCACGAGCTTCAGGGTGGGTACAAGGTCCCAGCTGAGCTTGGCAGTGAAGGATTTGAGCCCAGGCCACCTCCTGTCCACCCTCTCACAGCCTGCCCTGCAGGCAGGTCAGGACCTGCCCTCAGATGCCACCCACACTGCCCTGGTTTTCTGGTCTGTGCCGGCCCCACTCCTGATGGCCCAGGTCCTGCCTTGTGCTGCAGAGAGGGCCAAACCTGGCCCTGGCAGATGCGGAAACATCTTCCTGTTGCAGTTGAAGGGCTCACTTCACCTGAGACAGCCCAGTCTGGCTGTTAGGGCAGAACAGGACAGGCACTGGGAACCCCAGGGGGTTTCTGAGGTGCCGTTCAGCTCAGGATGAGAGCAGGAGCCACACCGCACTGAAGGCCACCCTGGGCGCTGTGGTGTGGGATGGATGGGAGCACACATGGGGATTTCTTTTAAGCCACACCGGAGCCTCTTCCTTTCGGGTCCTTCAGTGTTGGTACCAGATAAACACACCCCCAACACACACACGCACGCGTGCACACACACACACATGCACACACACACACGCACACCCACACATGCACACACGCACGCACACACATGCACACACACGCGCGCGCACACACATGCACACACACATGGACACGCACACACATGCACACACACATGCGCGCACACACATACACACACACACACACACAATGCTTACTGTAATTTGTCCAGCTCTTTTCCCAGGCATTGCAAGGGGATTTCTGCTATTGGGGCGTCTGTGTTTCATCCTGTAGCTTCCTCGTGGGTTTAAGGTTCGTGTTCATGAGTGTCTGAGATTTTTCTACCATATTTACTGTCACCCAAAACGATGCATCCAGGATGGGAGACGCCGCTGCTGGCAGCTTTCTGCAGGAATAAGGAACAGACAAGAAAAGAGGCCCTGGGAAGACCCATGGCAGATTCCAGACCTCCCAGACCTGCCTCCCCTGCGATGACCCCAGGGCCCGCGCCCCCGTGGGTTGAGGAGTGAGCTGTCCCTCAGGACCCTGTCCTCTGCTGCCCACTGCTCCTACAGGGACAGCCACTGCCTGCGGGCCAGAGGCATAATTGGCTGGCCCTGTGCAAAATGAAATGCAGGGCCCTTATTAAAAATTATTCAGAATTTCAAGACATGGGAACTGCAGAGCGTTGTCCAAGCAGTGGCTCTCCTGCACCTGCGGCCGTGTGCAGCCGTCTGTTTGCATAGCCATGAAGCCAGCCGGCCGCGTGTCGGGAGGACCGTGTGTTAGCACACATGCGTGCACACATGTGCATTTGCAGAACTGTTTAGATAGTAGTCATTTCCCTCCTGTGGTAAGGAATCTCCGAAACTTTTTCAAGTTTTCAAGTAAACAAGTATCCTGGGGAACTACAGTTCTGGTTTATGCAAATTGAGAGTCCTGTGCTTTATTTAAAAAAAGGAAAAGAGGTGACGTGGAAGAGAAAACCCAAGAGAGAGGAGGAAATCAAGGGTTCTGGAGTGTCGTGAGAGGGACCGGGGCTTCAGACAGGAGGTTGGGCTGGGGGCCATGGGGGCCAGTCTTGCCCTGGGCCTGGGTGTCTGTGCAGCCTGGGCCTGGTGTGGGTGACAGAGAATCCTTCTCTGCTCTGCAAGGCTGGCAGCTGAGGCAGCCCAGACACTGGATTCTCTGCATCCTGGGGCCACTGGACCCATCAAACACTGAGCCCCAGGAAGCAGGGACCCAAAAGGAAAGCAGGAAGGGGCTTCATAGGTGAATTGCCTGCATCCAACAAGATGAGTTCCAAGCCTCTGCTCAGAACAGTGAGGAGCCCGAGGAACTGTGAGTGGGCGAGGAAGGGGCGGAGAAGGCCAACCCTGGCCCTCCCAGCACTGGCACGAAGCGAGTCACGTGCAGTCCAACCACCTTGCAAGTAGCGTGGGGTGCGTGGCGTTCACCAGCGAGTGCAGTGGGAATATGTGACAGCTTCATCCATTCTCCTAGAGCCTTGGACCCAAACTTTCAAACTTCTTTTTCTTGTAAGATGCAAAGTTCTCCCTGATCTCCAGCCATGGGGTTAAGGTTGGTGTAGAATCCTGTGTATGTAAAGGTACATGTTTATAACTTAACCTTGAACCAAAATACTGCCTGGCAGGTGTTTGGTGTCTGATCTGCATGCCTACGTTTTTCAGCGGGATAGCAACCCCTGTTTGTAGGTCCCGTTTATATAAAAGTAATTACGTGTGCATTAGGAAGGACCTATTTTTCCCCAGTTTGAGAAATGACTAATCGTTCTTTTGAGATTCCTGCAGCGAAGGTTATGTTAATACAATATCAGCTTTTACTCTGCCGTGAAGTCCTTGTTTCTCAGGCTTTCTGGTAGAGAGTAATCTCCAGTCTGCCTAACCCTACAGCCACAAAATGGGCTGGCTTTCCAGGGAAGAGAGAAAATGCAATTCTCTGTGGCATGGAAGGAGTTGATGTGGGCTTCAGAGTCCTTGTGCTGGTGGGGGGCCAGTGCCCCCACCCGCCGGGCCCTCCCCTGCCCCCTGCCCTGTCCAGGGGTCATGACAAGACTTATCCTTTCCTCTTGGAGCCTTGGCATGGCTGGTCACATCCTTTCACCTTGGAGCCTTGACATGGCTGCTGCTGGGCCAGCCCCAGGGGTCCGCCGGGCGTCTGCAGATGGGGGCCAGGGGCTGCTGTAAAATCCTCCAGTCAAGGATGGCACATCGACTCCCTACCTCCTGCGTGGCCTCACACTCTGACTCCAAGTCTGGACCCCCTTTGTTCCCACCCTGTGCACAGGCCTGCCCTCGCTACATCTGAGGACAGCCTGACTGGGAACCCTTCCTCCTGCCTTTCCCTGCTCTCTAGTGGATTCCAGATGAGAGAGAGTGAGGCAGCCACACTGCAGGAGGGGCCACGGCTCTGCTCCACGGACGTGTCTCCAGCTCCCTCGGTCACTGCTTACTGCTCCACGACTGGCCGATGGCAGAGCAGGACTTGGGGAGCAAGCACTAAACCGGGAGACCAGGAAGCTGGTGAAGCCCCTGGGCCCGGTGTCCCTGCCTGAGGGTCCCCGGGTGGAGCCGTACCGGGCATTGCCTGAGGGCCCTCCCAGCCAGTGTCAGGACCCAGGTCCTCTCGGCAACACCGTCGCGATCCGTGACAGCAGCACGCTGACTGCCTCCCTCTTTTCTCCCGCAGCAAGAATTATCAAGACCAAGCAGTGGTGTGACATGCTTCCGTGTCTGGAGGGGGAAGGCTGCGACTTGCTAATCAACCGGTCAGGCTGGACGTGCACGCAGCCCGGCGGGAGGATAAAGACCACTACGGTACGTGGCCCTTGGCTTTCTCGTGTGTGTGCTGGGGAGGGGGCATGTGCGGGCCTCTGAGGCCACCCTGGCTCCGAGGGGACGGGTGGCAGCTGCTCACCTTGTCCTCGTGCAGAGAAGCCAGGACCCCACCTCCCTCTCTAGGGCTGAATTCCTGACCATCTGTCCTGGGGCGGAGGGTTCATGAGTACATGGGGGCTGAGAGCTGGATAAAGAACCACCTGCAAGGCTGGTCAGCCCAGAAGTCAGATCACAGACCAGGCCCCGAAATCCGTTGGTTAGAGCCATCTTGTTTCCGGGACTGATGCCCCCGTGACTCCCGGTTGGAGGAGGCGTCTGCCCCTCCTGAGGATGAACTTCTGATAACTCCCCCAGGGAACAGGGAGCTTCTGCAGAGACGGAGCCGGGTGCGGGTTCCATCCAGGTGTGCTCCTTCCGTCCCTGGGCCTGGCCTAGTGGCTGCTCACACCAGAGACCCGGAGGGCCCTTCAGCTCCTCTTTGTCCCACTGAGTGGGGCATGCAGCGCGCCCCGCCCTCCCGAAGCCACAGCTGACCTGGGTCTCTAGAGCTGCTCTTCCCAAGGGCAGAAACTTGGGGAGCGCGGGGTGGCCCTGGGCCTTTTCCGAAGGCAGCTCCTCCAGGCACGCCACGGATTCTGAGGCACTTTCCCCTGCAGAGGGGCAGAGGAGGCGGGCAGAGGAGGGGAGCCCACGTGCATGGGGCTTGGGCCATTCACGTGTGGGGTGGCCTCGACTTCTCACTGGCGAGTGGTACCCCCTTATCCTGGCTCCTCCTGCTTTGAGGTTGGCATTGGAAGCTGAGGACATGAGTGGGTGAGGGTTTCCCTAACATGGATCTGGGCTCCGTGCTCTGAGAATGTTAAGTCAGGGAGATCTGTGGCTGGGCAGAAGGATCCAGAAAGCCCCTGGCATCCGAGCCCCCTCCAAGGATTGCACGGAGAGAGGGGGCTGCAGCCCCTCACACTGGGCTTCAGGGAAATCCTTCCTCTTGCTGCCTGAGTGGCCTCCAAGCGAGGGCTCGGCTGGGCTGTTCCGGCACTCGGTTCAAGAGGCCGATTTGGTGGAGTTGCTCCAAGGAGAACCACGGATCCCTGGGGTTCTAACACAATTCGGGGCTGTCAGGGTCGTCTTCTGGGAGTTGCACAGCTTTCTGCTGCAGCCAGGATGTCAGTGAGATGGGCAAGGCAGCACGCCAATCCCCCCATGGGTTTCTCAGGGGCCTCTTGTATTTGTGGAAGTTCATGCAGACTCAGCCTCGCTGGCGGCCCAGGGCCCCCTGGGAGTGCCTGCCTGGAATGTGAGCCTGCAGGAGGAGTGTGAGGCCGGGCACCGGTGCCACCCTGAGGCATGCGGACAGGACAGGAGATGAGGGGCGTGGGTTGGTCTAAGCTGAGGTCCTGGGCTTGCCTGGTCAGGGTTTGTTTATCTGGCATTCAGTGCAGAAGCAGATGATTCCGTCCTGCACCCGTGAAACGCACAGTGCTCTACCATTTCCTACTGCTACCTGCCCGCAGAGGAGGCCTAGGCCCTCCTCTGTCCCTGCTCGTTGGGGTTCCCAGGCCTGCACTACCTCCCCGAATCTCCAGCAACACAAACAGCAGGTGCATTCCATCTGCCTGTGGACCCCGGTCAGGCGCAGCCTTTCACATCCTTCGTAGAAGCTTCAACATAAGCAGCCACCTCGCCCCGAATTTTGGAGGGATGGGTGTGAGAGCCACTCTGGGTCCCAGCTGCCAGTGACCCATCACTTCTCAGTCACCCTTTGATGAGCCCCTCCTCCTTGTGATTCGAGGCCCATGAGGCACCCAGGCCAAGCGTTCAGGCCGCACCCCTTCAGGAACGAACTCGGATGCACCTCTGTGAGTTGACTGCTCAGTTCACCGGGGTGGGAAGTCAGGAGTCCACAGACGCCATGAGAGCTGGCGGTGGATAAAGGTGTCGTCACTTCGACACGGGCAGCCCTGCTGAGCCAGTGACAGGGCTGGAACCGGCCCAGCCCTTCCAGAGGCATCGAGGTGCTTGGCAGGAACAGGATTGGGTCCTTACTTGGAGGCTGCTGGCATCGTCACATTTTGGTTTTTGGTAATTTATTGTGGTGAAATTCACATAACATAAAGTCCATTTTAAAGCGAGCAGCTCAGTGGCATTGGACACACAGTGCTGTGCCACCACCCCTCTACCTGCTTCAGAGCATTTACATCCCCCTGGAGGGATGCCCTTCGCCCACCGGGCAGCATTGGAGTCTTCAGATCTGCATGAAGGCTTCTCCTGGTGCAGCTCTGCAGCCACTTCTGCCCAGGGTCACCGTGGCAGACCTTCTGGCCCCGATAAGGGCAACGCTAATTAAAGTGATCAGTGAAGTCCCCCGCACGCAGGGCGCGCGCTGGTAAGTGAGGGACACAGATGTGGCCTGTCCCCAGCTTGTCAGGCTGCCCGGAGAACGCCTTGTCAGACAGCTTCATGGTATCTTCCTTTCTTCACCGTTGGCCCAAACCCTGGACCCAGCCCTCCCTGCCTCCTGCATTCACCCAGAATGCATGTCTTCTCCTCTCTCCTCCTCCCGTTTAGTTCTTCAGTGCCTGAGTCATTCTCATGAAGTCTCATCAGGGACCCCTTCACCTACCCCAGAACCAGACGAGGGCCGCCCAACCAGCCTCCCGCGTCCGTCCAGGTCTGCCTGGCCAGCACGGCCTCTGTATGTGCAGAGATGGGGAACCGAGGTGTTCTCTGCATCAGCTCAGTCCAAGCCCACAGGGCCCACCATGGGAGACAGCGAGCCCCCCTTGTTCTGGGGCATTTGAGACAGAGGCTGACCAGGCACCCGGGATATTCCAGAGGGGTTCGAGCCTTCCTGGCTTGGGGAACAGTAGCTGCACCCGTCCAGTGCTTGGCGTGCTCAGAGAGCCTGGCGGAGATGGCTGCGGACTCTCCTTCCCTTGGGCCTCGCAGGCCTGGGAGCTCAGTTTCACACGCTTGAATACTGCGGCTGGGCGAGCTGGAGTGACCGCTGGTGGCCAGGGGGACAGAATTCCAGGGAGGTGGGATCGATGCTGCCTGGTCTGCTCAACACAAACGCCAGACCTGGCTCGGCGTGAGACCCCACGTGGCTTTCAGCTCAGGAGACTCAGATACTCTGGTCTTCCCATCGTTAGGACACTTTGCAGGGGACCCCCCAAGCCTCTGCTGGTGGAAGCTGGGAGGGCACCTGCAGGGACCAGGGACATGGGCAGGTGGGAGTCTGATTGTAGCAGGACACTCCATCATCCAGCGTGGGAAGGACAGGTGCCCCCCCCCGGGCTGGTCACTCGCAGGGAGCCTGATTCTTCTGGAGAGTGAGGTCTCATAGGTGGAGGGGATGGCTCTGCTTTCCTGGGGGAGAGTGTGTGTCGGGGCTTGAGGACCTGTCTCTCAGCCTTTGCCTCACGTTGCCATGGCGGGGGCACCTTGTGTACATGGCCACGGGTGCCTGGGCTGGTGGATCTCAGTGAGTGACCGTGTGCTCACTCCAGGGGACCGGGGTGGGCCCTGTCGTCTTCCCAGGTATCTCAGGAAAAGTCTGGGAACAACAGGAGAGCCGGCTCCTAATAGAATCGCTGGCCTGTGGTGACCTGTGTTCAAAGCTTTCTGAAAAGGTTAGTTGGGCTCTTGAACCAAACACCATAGAATTGGGAGCTACAATCCCAGTTGTGCGATTGCATCTGAGTTCTCTCATGGATGGTAAATTAGCACTACAGGAGATTTCACCCTTTACCATAAACTGGTTTTCTGAGAGATGATGGTGTTCTCATAACTTGGCTTTTAGAGACCCAGTGGATACTGAGTTGCTGCTAATTCCATCCTAATGGCCACGTTCTCAGATGAGAGCCCGCCTCCAGCCCAGCCCTGATGCAGGCAGCCACCCGCTCCCAGCCTGCCCAGCTACGCTCCAGCATCGTGCCGAGCCCCCGTCACTCCCCAACCCCTTCCGTGCCGAGCCCCCGTCACTCCCCAACCCCTTCCTGTGTGGCCGTTGCTGTTTACTTGTCTGTGTGGGCCCACCAGAGTGTGGGTCGCCTAGCACCGGTGCTGGGCCTAAGGGTGCTGCTGCCCCGTGCCCTGGCAATGCCTGCGCCTCTGTGTGTGACACGTGGATTCAGGATTCATGGATTAACCGAGTGTGGACCCCAGGCACATGCTGATGCTTCTGTTTCCAGGATCATTGCTTTTTTTGAGATGGAGTTTCGCTCCTGTCACCCAGGTTGGAGTGCAAGGGCACAATCTTGGCTCACTGCAACCTCCACGTCCTGAGTTCAAGTGATTCTCCTGCCTCAGCCTCCAGAGTAGCTGGAATTATAGACGCCCACCACCACACCCAGCTAATGTCTGTATTTTTAGTACAAACGGGGTTTCACCATGTTGGCCAGGCTGGTCTCGAACTCCTGATCTCAGGTGATCCATCCGCTTCGGCCTCCCAAAGTGCTGGGATTACAGGCGTGAGCCACTACGCCGGCCCGAGATCACTGCTTTTGAAAGTGCAGGTCGTCACCCCGTTAGTGGGTTGTGAAATTAATTTAATAGGTCATGACCAGCATTTAAAAGGAGGAAGGAATAGAATGAAAATGTGAGAGGGCATCTGTGTCAGGAGGGCGAGCGCCCGGTGACAAGGCCCGTGCCCGCGCACACACGGTCACATGGGAGAAGCCTTTCTCCTAGGTTGCTATGAAAGGCTGGAAATCCGCGTCCTGTGGGGACTCGAGAGAAACTGACCGCTGCAGTGCTTTTCCAGGCACTGCCTCTCAGCCGGCTCTGCCCTGTGGACGTCCACTTGCCCCAGGCGAGGGGACCCTGGGTGGGTGTTGCAGGTTCTCCTGAGGTGTGAGCAGCGCCCCTTCTTGGCTCCCCATTCTGGCTCCTGCTCCCTGGGGACAGGCCCAGAGCTGCTGTCCGCCCTCCTTCCCATTCCCCTGCTCTGCTCTGGCTTCCTCTGTCCTTGAGCTGGG